GAACAGTGTATTACCCTAGATATAATAGTAAGCACACACACACACACACACACACACACACACACACACACACACACAGAGAGAGAGAGAGAGAGAGAGAGAGAGAGAGAGAGGCTGCTGTAGTGGAATACCTTTGCCTTTGCTGTTTCCCACACACAGACCTGGCAGCTCTACACAGACACCATGTCTCCAGACTTCATCTGAGGAGCCCATCTGGTTTGAAGTAATACAACAAGCAGGAAAGGGAACTGAATCAAAGGCACAACGTGTGGTTTGGGAAATGCAGAGAACGTGAGACAGGGCATCAGGAGGAAGGTCCCATGGGCCTTGTAGGCCCAGAGGTTGAGTCTCCACTTGCTCTGGGCTGGGCCCACAAATGATGTGAAGATGACTTGAGGGATGCAGGAGGAGGGGTGGGGTGATGAAGACAAATTGGCTGAGCCTAGCTGGGGCCCTAGAAAACAGAAGAAACCTAAAACACTAGTGGTTCAGAGCCCACAGCTCACATGGGCCCCCACCATTTATACACATCCACCAGTACCACAGCATGAAGGAGAAACTGAGGCAGACAGTCCTCAGATACAGGCCACTCCAAGCAGGCTGCCCTGCTGCTACTGACCCCATCCCTTCATCCTAGAAGATGCTCCTTGGCCATCCCTCACTGCCTGCCAATGCTGGCTCTGCTCCCTCTGGCCGGCCCCATGCTGGGTGCCTGTGGCCACATGGGCTTTCCAGTGCACAGGCCAGTTTGATCTGCAGTACACCTGGAGTGCAGTGTCTCATCCTCTACACTGTCATCATAGGGATCCTACACACTCCTGACTTCCCCACCTGAGGGGTACTTCCTGGGGTGGGGGCTGCAGCTACAGAACAGACGGGGTCTCCTCCCTTCAGCAGCAGCTCTAGGCACCCCTGGACAGTCTCCCCTTGTCCAGTGACCAAATCTCAGGGCACATCTGCCACTGCATCCCAAATGCTTCCTTGAGGGGATTCATGGCAACAAAGTGCTCCTACCTTCCTTTAGACAAAGGCACCATTGCTGAGCAGGTTGGTGGGGCTCCCTAGCTGCCTGCACTTGACTCTGGGTCTGCTTTTGTCCTCCCCAAAGAGTTGGTCTATTTTTCCAGTTGGGTGTTGATTATATTTCTGAAGAATTTTGAGGCATGAATAGGAGTCTAGACACTCTAGACCATCCAGGGACCTCTGGGAATGATGCATGCAGGGATGGAGCAGGGGATACTAGGATGTGGATGACTGAGGAGATGCAGGTAAAATAAGAACCCCATCCCTGCATAGGACAACACAGCAGCCCACAGTAGGGCAGGCAGCATGCTACAGAGGAAGCTATGGTGAAAGGAAAGGACAGTGGCTCTCTTAGCCACCCAGGCCACTATAAAGCATTCACTAAAAGCCTTACAAGCGGGGACATTTTTTTCTTAGTTCTAGAGGCTGGAGGTGGTGGAATGGCCCACTCTGCCAAGGGCTGCACATAGCCATACTTTTTGTCTTCAGATGTTGGAAGTACGAGAGGCTTCTCTGTTTTTATAGGGACTCTAAACCTGCTCAGGAGGACTCCAGCCCCACACCTCCCTTCCCTACCACCCCCACCTTGACTGAGTCACATTCCAAAAGTTCCACCTCCTAACACCATCACTTTTGGGGTGTCAAATGAAAAGTATGAATTGGAGAGGGACACAATCAGGTCAGTCATCACAGAAACTTCTGGACCACCACTTTACAGGGCAGTCAAGGGCTGTCCAGAGAGCAGCCAGGACAGTGGGAATACCAGCCAGGGCAGTGGCCAGAGTCACTCAGCAAGCAGTTGCTTAAAGAATGAATGAAGGAGGAAGGAGAGCATGGTAGGAGCATGCCCTGGCAGTCTCCCGTTAAAGGCCCTTCTCAAGTTCATTCCTGGAGTACAGGAGGGAGAAACCCTAGGTCTCTGGGGCCATTCATTACCTGGTACAGAGTGTACCCTTCTCTTAGGCCTCTGGTGGGCCCTTATTGTCTGAGCATCCAGCACTAGGAATAGGGCTAGCAAGGACCTAAATATAAGTCTTATAAAATGTAAACGGTTTCATGTGGCTAGCAGTGGCCCACTTTCCACCTCGACTGGCCAGTTCAGTGGGAGCAGGGACATCTGCAAGGCCAGTGAGTTGCACACTTTAGGGTCCCTACTTTGTGGTGTTCTACCCCTAATTACAAACATTGGGTGCTCACTTCCACTTTAAACGCCACCAAAGTAGAGGTCTCTAATGATGACAGCTCTTCCTCACGTCCCCTGCATACCCTGGGTGTTGAAAGAGTGTGGAGTGGCTGCATTCCATGGGGTGGGGGAGAAGAGGCCTGAGGCTGCCCAGCACCCTCTGCAGGACAAACCTCAGACTACCACTCCTGCAGACATGGAGTCCCAGCTTCCCAGGGCCAAAGGTATGCTGCTAATGGGGAACAGGCAAGGGCCCACTGTTACCTGCAAAAGGAAGCTTGCATTTGAGGGTAGGGTAGGGGCAGGGTTGGGAATGTGTCCACAGCTGCCCTTAGGAGTGTCCCTACAGGTATGTCCCTTCTGGCCACATGAACAGATGCTGTAGAGGTCTTCATGTCCTGGTGCTAGATGCCTTGGGAGGCTGGGGGAAGGGGCTGGCCACCCAACCTGAAATAAGTTGGATGTGGGACAAACTTGGGTCTGGGACTGATATCTGGAAGTGCCTAGGAGAGGTGATGTCTCAACTACCACTATTATGGGGGAGGAATGAGCCAGGTGGCTCAGTAGGCAACAACTGCCACAAACACTGACACAGAAGGCTGCTGGGACAGAACCTGGCCACATGCGTTTCCCATTCATCTCAGGCATAAGCCAGCCTTGACACTGGCCTTCAGTTGGCCCTTCCTGCTGGGGCTCAGGAAGGGAGGGATCAAAGGGTTCCTCTGGCCACTTCCATGGTGTTGAGTTAATGGGGATAGGTCGCCCAGCCACCTGGCCTGGGAAAATTTGCTTCACACACGGGTTTCAAGATGACTCATGACCACTGTCATTGTGCACCCCCCTCCAGGTCACTCTGTGGGGACATTCAGTGAATAAAGTCAATAAACAGGGGGAAACACAAACGTGGGCTGGGGCCAGGCCAGGGGAATGCTGGAAGAGCAGAGCTGCCTGTTTTTGTCTTTCCACATCCCATTGGGGCCGGATGGACAGTGTCCTGTCCTGAGCATCATTCCCAGTTTACATGGAAAAGCTCACAGGACTATACTGCAAACAAGCCAGGGCTCACATCCAAGGCCTGAAATAGCAACAACTGCAGGTGTGGAGAACTGAAGTGAAAGGCAGGACTTGAATCCGGGGCTGGTGTGCCTGCTTTGGGGAAGAGGAAGCAGGCAGTCTGGAGAGGGCTGGGGAGGCTGCTGGAAAGGCTGCTAGAGAGAGGCAGCACAGCAGAGCCACCAGAGGAAAGGTCAGAGAGAAGGGAGGGCAGGTTAGATGCTGCAGGGATCCTAGTCAACACCCACAGCAAGGACCTGGGCTGGTGAGACCAAGTAAGTCCCCAAGATTGCCCGGCACGTGCAAATGAATGGGCACACTTGACAGTTTCCAAAAGAGGCGAAACCGTTTATGAAGTCGGCGCCGGCACGGTATCTACAGTATCTACACATATCTACACGTATCTACACCGCCTGCAGACGGGGCTCTCTCGGGTCGTCTACATTGCAATTGCCGGCCGGGCCGGAGGCGACGCGGTCTCGGGGAGAACAATAAATACCACTTCCTTCCGCCTCGGACCGGGCGCTTTGGCACTGGTGGGCGGGGGCCGCGCGGTCCTCGGGGCTGGGGAAGAACCGGAGGGCTGGCGGGGCTGCGTACTGCCACAGTCCTCAGGGCTAGCAGACCCCAATGGCTTCGAGGCTGGGGCGAGAGAAGCCCGCGGTGGTCCCCCGGGGCGGGAGGAGAGTCCTTGGGTGGCCCTCGGGGCTGGGCGCATTATCTGGGGCAGTAGTCGTAAGAGCCGGGCGGCGCGGCACCAGCAGACGAGTACATGTTGGCGGCCGCTGCGGCGGCGGCGGCGGCGGCGGCTGCGGCAGGGCTCACAGCCGGGTGATGGTGGTGCGGGTGCGGATGCGCGTGCGGGTGGTAGCCGTGGCCGCGTAGGCCCGGAAGCGGGTAGGGCGCCGGCCGGCTCTTGGCCCCGAGGTAGTGGTCGTAGGCGGCGGTCGGGTACTTGTAGGGATGGTGGTGCAGTGGTTCCGACGCGCCGGGCGCCTCCAGGCGCAGCTCGGGGTGCGGGGGGCTGGGCCGGCCTCCGGGAGCGCCAGGCAGAGGGATGAGGCCGCCGGTGCCGCCCGGCCCGGGCAGCGCGGGACTCAACACTCGAGCCAGCAGCTGCGGCGGGTGCGCCGGGTCGCCGAGTAGGGCCGGCCCCGGGTCGCGATCGAATTCTCTCCGGGCTTCAGCGGCGTCTACGGGGAGAGCCGAGGCATGAGCGCGATTCTCCAAGGCCGCTCGGACAGCTTGCCGAAGGCTCCGGTCCAGCGAACCTGCGGCGCCCCTAGCCCCGAGCGCTCAAGGGAGCCAGCGCAGCTGCGGGGCGGGTGGGGCGCGCGGGCGGGGTACCGCAGTCGGGCGGGCGAGTGAGCGCTTGCCCGCCGCCGCCGCCGCCGCGGCCGTTGTGCAACCGGCTCGAAAGGCCGTGAACACCCCGGGGGTGCAGGCGAGGCCGGGCACGGCTGCCGACCTGGGGAGGAGCGCGCACCGGGCCGCGGCCCGGATCCCACGACCTCGATCCTACCTTTCTCGGCGCCGTTGGGCTGCGTGGGGGAAGCCACGGGGTTCCGAGAGCGTGCAAAGGCGCTCATGAGCGGCAGCGCGCCAGGTCGGTGGTTCCGGGGCCTGCGGAAGGGGAGTGGGTCATGGTGGCGCCGGGGCCAAGCGCCCGGCACTTGCCTTTTCTTCCGAAGGCCACTCACCAGTCCTCAGGGTCGCAGTCCCGGAAGCCTTTGGCGAACGGATTGCTGGCAATCTTAAGCTGCGTGATCTGCAGAGAAGCCAGCCCGAGTGAGCAGCTTGCGGCCACCCGACCTCGGCAGCGCAGACAGGGGAGTGTTAAAAGTTCCGCGGAATAGGCCTTTCTGTGCTGTCTAGACAAGGGGCCCACATCTGCCCCTATCCCCAGCACACTGTGCCTTCCTCTTTCAGCAAGGTGTCTGGGGAGTCTCCTCTCTCTAGAGGACTTCTCTTTGCCGCCCCATATAAATGAGGAGGAAGGTTAGTGTCCCCGGGTGGGATGGGAATGTGGTCACACACACCCCACCCCCAGCACAGAGCCAACAACTGAGCTGGCGCCCTAGGAATCCGGGTAAACCTCAGATCTAGCCTCTGATGGGGAGTTTCCGGAATGGTTTGGAAAACAAACTTTCAGCCTGCAATGACAGTTGCTGCTACAGAGGTCAAGCTGATACAGGAGGCTGCGCCGGCCTGCGGAGGGAGTGGGCAGCGGTGAGCCTGTCCCGAGGAACCCCCCAGCAGGCCCTCACCCGGTGGTTCTGGTAGGCAGTGACCGCTGTAAATCGCGTCTCCTCAAACACAAAGGTTTTGAAGTTCTCCTCCGCATATTTCTCGCTGTCTTTTCGAGGGTCCACGTACACAACATGGAATCGGGGCTGGTATCTGTGCATGGAGTTGAGAATAATCTGGAAGACAAAGTTTGAGATAAGCTCCAGTGGTGAGAATAGATGAAAATTCAGGCCAGAACCAGGAAGCAGGCAGGAGTCAGTAGCAGTGGATTTTCTTAACTAATTTGTGCAAAACCCTTCATTCCAAAAATAAAGCTGGACCATAGAGCCCATTTGGGACCTCCGGGAAAGATGCTTCAACTGGCAGAATGATGGGGGTGGGGGTGGGGTGGGGTGGGGTGGTGGTGGTGGTGGTGGTTGCAGATCTTTCCTTAGGACCCTAAGGATTGCCCTGGAGCCTGCAAGGGATGGTAGCTATAAGACAGAGCTCAGCCAGGCAGGAAGGTGGCCTCCCAAGCTGGGATTCCACAAGTCTTCAGCCCCACTCTCATACAGAGGCCCACCCTTTCCAATTAAAGAGCCTCTGGCATGAGCTCAGAGTGAAGAGGAAGAGAGTGACTCCTCCAGGCCCACTCCCAGCTAGAGATCATTCTCTAAGCAACCTGTACCCAGTCCCAGTGCTGCCTGAGCACTGTTTCTGCCTCTGGTCAGTGGGGAGTCTGGAGGGCCTGCAACAGGGACAGCCCAGAAGCCAGAGGAGAAAGGTCACTCACGTGGCCATTGTCATCCAGCAGGTTGTTAGTCAGCTTCAGCTTGTCGAAGGACACGATTTGCTTCATCCACTGTGCACCCTTGGCCGGCGAGTCAGGGTGGTAGTGTACTCGGCCGGGTGTGGCAGGGTCTGCCTTGCCGGCCACCAGCCAGGAGGAGCTATGGAAGGCATACCTACAACAATATGGGAGCAGGGGATGGGACTGTGCCACATTGGGGTGAACCAAGAAGACCCTATCGAGGTCCAGAGTAAACTCTGAAAGTGCCTCGGAGGAGTTTCCTCACCGGTGAAATCAAGTTTCCGAATCATACCAGCTTGATAGGGGACTGTGAAGAAAACTTCCTACAGCATAAATGCACCAAAAATGCAGAGAATGGGGGCTCTACTATCACAAGGAGAGAGGAAGCCACTCCCCTCCCCTCATTTCGCTGCAAGCGGGTACGCCTGTCCCAGGGCCCACATGGCAGAAGTCAGGATTTGATTTCTCTGGTTGGTGGGTTTAGGCACCAAGTTCCCTTTATTAATTACTGTTAATTGTCCAGGCAGCCCAGGCCCGCCCTGCATAATCTTTCCCAGCCACTCCACCTTTCCGGCCTAGCTCTGGGACAGAGGGTTCTCTAGAGATGGGGGAAGGGTACCAGACGTTTGCGCTTGTTTGTGCTTGGTTCTTAGGACTGAGCACGAGGTACAAGTAAACAGACTAGCCACATGGGCCAAAGGCATCAGCTGCCTGAGGCCTGAAGCTCGAGGTTTCCATTGTGAGTTTCTAGGCAGCTTCAAGAGATGAGTAGGGGTGGGATTTGAGGTCCCTGATGGACAGGAGGGGGATGGTAGGGAGCAGGTCAAGAAGGTCTGGGGAACAGCAGCCAATACAGGTGACTGGGAAGACCCAGTCACTAAAGATTAGCTTCATGACTGGGTGGCATTTAAAGTCTGACACCAGGCAGGGACCCCCCCGCCCCGGCTTCCTAGGATGCCCTCCCACATCCCTTGAACACAGAGCTTGCTCCAGTGGTTCCAAGGGCTTGCTCACCGGTAGCGCTTATCATCCACAGGCACAAAGTCCATGAGTAGCATGTAGTCGGCCATGGGATCCATGCCAAAGAGCTTCACTTGAAATGTGGGGAACATTCGCCTGGGAATGAGGGTCCTCTGGTCAGTACACAACTGCTCTACCTTGACTTCTCTAGCCTGGAAGCCCCTAGCTTAGCCCCTTCCTTCTGATCTTTCTCTAGCTGCTGTGTTCAGTACAGCCCTGCAGTCATAGCCGCTCTAACTCCCAAGTAGGCTCTTACAGCTGCATCCATGGACAAGGGAGCAGCAAGCCAGACCCCAGGCCCTTTCTGAAACCAGAAACGGTAACCCGGTGCTGGTGCTAAGCCATGGAATCACAAAGCTTTTCTGCCTCCTCTTTCTGTACCAATAGTCTTTCCCAAAGGACTCCTTAATTTCCCCACCTAGCCTCAGCTAGCAGCAGGATACCTAAGATCCATCCATTCCCCTGGCTTCTCAGCCCTTTGCTGCCGCTGAACCTCCCAAGCTTGAACCTAGCGGCTCCCGGCTCCAACAAAGTGAAACTGAGTGGTGCTGTTATTCCAAGAGTCCCCTCACTGTACTTTCGCCTGAGTGTGTGGCTGTTCCCCAACCCTCCAGTGAAGCTGATACCTTGGAACCCCAATATCCAACTCTCAAGAACTGGCTGGAGATCCCCCACCTTCTGACCAACACATTCCTGCTGCTGCTTACTGTCAACGTAGGCATTCACTGTTCCTAGTTTCCTCTCCTCAGAACCCCAGTCAGTGACCTATCAAGGCTCCTGAAGGGACATTCTGTAGCTCCTGGATGGGCCACTGACCATGGGCCAGTCTTTGCCTGGTTATCCTGAAGTACTGGCCATTAGGCCCTGGAGGCTTGGCCCTATCTTGCCCTTCCCACTCCCTCTCCTCACAGGCAACCCATTGCAGGGAGTCGGGAGCCGGCTCTCCTGCAATCCACCCTGAAGCCTTTGTAGGCCGGAGAGTTCAGTGGATCGGTAAAGTCTGCAGCCCACAAGGCCCCTCCTTGGCCTGCCGGGGCCAAGAGGCCCAAGCCACTGTCTTCAGTAGAGCTGTGTTCATAGGGACAGCAAAGACAGCCTAGAGAAAATCCACAGTGCAGCAGCGGTTGACCGGCCCCAAGTTCCCCCGGGAGGACTGCGCAGCACGGAAACAGAAACCAAGAGAAGGCTTTGCAAACAGGCCCTGAGCACTCCTTGGCCAAGGAGCTGGTGTGTACATTAGACACAGCCCAACACCCGCCTTTGTCTATTGGTCAAATCGGGAGCATCTGCAAAACTTGTTCCCCTTCCCTCTCGGCCCTTAAAACAAATACAGGCCAATTGGCAGCCTATTCTGCCAGGCTTGTGCAGAACTGGGCCCACAAGCCACTGAAATTGAGGCCCAAGAAAACTGAGTGGTGAGTTCCAGAAAACTGAGCCCACTGTTTTTTTCAAGTCTTAATTCTCCCGTAAAATAATCCTGACAATTGGGGGTGGTTGCTCTCGAGATTGCTGTGTAGACTCAAATCTCTGAACCCAAACAGGCGTTTCCTTTGAGGAAGGGCCCGCTGAAAACTTTCTGGGCTGCACGGCCGTAGCCCCCAGCCTAGTGCACCCGGGGCCGGCTCTTTCCCTCGCGGAGTCCTGGGACTGCGGAGCTTCAGGGCCCGTCCCGGGACTTGGCTGCACCGCGGGCGCCATCCCCTCGGGTTTAATGCTCCCGGTGGCTGTCGCTGGAGCCGGGACAGCAGCAAGCAAAGAAGGCGGCAGGGCCGGGAGGAACCGCAGGTGACGGGGCTGCACCCCCACCCGGCTTCTCGGCCCCACGCTAGGGCATCCGACCGGTGCGCACAACCAGAGCGTGGCAGCACACGTGGGGAGGGTCGCGGCGCGGGGAGGGAGCGCCCTGACCTGCCGGCCTTGGTGACGATCATCTCGGTGCCCAGCTGATTGAACTCGTCCCACAGCGCCTTCATCTCCAGCTGCACGCTCACGCTGGCCACCTTCGGGTTCTTCTTCACCGGCGCTTTGGCGGCAGCTGCACAGCTGGCCCCGGGACCCTCGGGCTCCGCGGCAGAGCTGCTGGCCGCCCCGGAGGCGGCCGCGAACGGGTAGGCGTGCGGTGGCGGCG